AACCTTTGTGATTGGAGCTCTTTTCTGTTTTCTCAATACGATGAGAGATCTGGACGTTGAAGAAATCGCTCATCAGGTGGTTTATTTATTTATTTATTTTTTTAAATATTTTTAAAAAAAATTAAATGTGGCAAAACTCCCATGGGCTGTTTGGGTGTTTTTGGGGTTAAGGCGTGGGGTGTGTATGTACCTTGCTCGCTAATTAGAGTGCTAATTAGATTGCTAATTAGATTGCTGATTAGAGTGCTAATTAGAGTGTGCTAATTAGAGTGCTAATTAGAGTGCTAATTAGAGTGTGCTAATTAGAGTGCTAATTAGAGTGCAAATTAGAGTGTGCTAATTAGAGTGCTAATTAGAGTGCTAATTAGAGTGACCAAAGCATTTTACAGTAATTAGTGGGGACGCAGGTAGTAATCAAATGGGGGGAGAGACACGTGGACTGAGAGAGTGGTGATTAGACGCGAAGAGCCCGAACGTATCATCTCAACCCTCCTAGTCCAATCATGCAGGTAATTAACCTCATGACCTGATTGCGACGCTCCACGTGTCTAATCATGCATTAGATATAGCAGGCTGAACACTTGGCTAAGACTTCTATCTAATCAAGTGATGATTAGACACGTGGCGTGTCGGAAATCAATGTATGAGCGGCCTGAGCTATGCTCAGAGTGCTGCGCATCATCGACGCGAGTTCAACTAATCACCTATCTCCATGCCCAGTCGGGATCTCGATGCCTTGTCAGCACGTGCTGGCTGGTTATGGATGATGAGCACGTGGCGGTGACGAGTACCTGCTGACAAGGCATGGAGATGCTGACGGGGCGTGAATGTGGACGTAATAAATGTGCAACCTGATTGCCGCATGAAGGTGTGCTGACCGGGCATGAATCTGGACGTAATTGCGGCATGAAGGTGCTGACTGGACATGAATGTGGACGTGATTGCGGGATGCAGGTGCTGACTGGGCATGAATGTGGACGTAGGGTGTCTGCTCTATTATCCCACTGAGTGGGCATGGTTGTTGCATTTTCCTCCACGCCCAGTCAGCACCTCCATGCCCTGTTCTACGCATTTGGACGAAAATTACGTCCACATTCATGCCACAATCACGTCCACTTCCATGCCCAGTCTTACCACCTCCATGCCCTGTTTTAGCACCTCCATGCCCTTTTTTAGCACCTCCATGGCCCGTCACCAGCACGTGATGCCTGGGTCCCTCGAGGCCCTGTCCGCCGCACGTCCTCAGTGGGCCTAAAACTCGTGATCGTAGGGAATATGGCCATTGCTTGTCCAAAACAAAAAGAAAAAAAAATGAAAAAAAAATAAAATCCTTCTCCTCTTACGTTCCCTTCTTCTTCTGCGCGTTAGCTGATTGTCCGTGCAGGTGCTGTTCTGTTTATCACTAAGGCATGGACGCATAGCGATTGGCCTCGCTTTTTCAATTCAATTCAATTCAATTCAATTCTTCTTCTTCTTCTTCTTCTTCTTCTTCTTCTTCTTCTGTCGTCGTCCCTGTTCCTCTTCCATCTTTATGCACCTGCACGTAAACAGACCCCACATACGGCAACAGACCGGCTTTCGCAGGAATCCGGGGAGTGCGCACGAGTGACTGAGACTTGTGTGACGGAAAGCAGTGCGACGGAAAGCAGTGTTCAGAGAAAGCTTGCGAAGCATGTTGTGCGACGGAAAGCAGTGTTGTTGGCAGGGCCTACCCTGACAGCCAGTGCTAAAATCACACTGCCTGTACCTCAGGCTGCACAACCTTTAAAAAAAAAAAAAAAAAAAAAAAGAAAGCACTGTTGGCCGCGTTTTGTCATATTAGTGTCTTCGTCCACTTCTTGTTTTGTCATTTTCTTCCTTCGTGAATTGAACTGGCGAAGAAAAAAGAAAAAAAAGAAAAAGAAGAACAGGCAAACGCAATTTGTGCATGGATTTTGGTCCATTGAGCCAGCGTGGGTTTCTCGGGATGCCCTTGGACTAGTCGGATCTCTGCTGTGAATCTGGACGTGAGATGCGGTCAAGTACGTGCAGAGAAGTTCCTAGTTTGAGTATGTATATGCATTGAGCCCGCGTGCGCAGTATGTTGCACTGTCTGCGCTTGCAAAGAACAACGGTTAGTTTAATTATTATTCAATTTAATGCAAATTAATTCAATTTCAATTCAGTTTACTTCAATTCAATTCAAATTTCAAATTTCAAATTTCAAATTTCAAATTTCAAATTGGTCCATTAGTTGATTAGGTGTACTTTTGATTCATAGATTGCAAAAAAAATGCCTTCAACTAATTAGTTCATTAGGGGGAAAAATGGCCTTCATAGATTGAAGGCAATTTTTGTGTGCAAAAAACGGCGATTCGTATAAATTCAACATCCAATTCATTTCAAATCAAACTAATTAATCTGTTGTTGATCAGGTCTTTTTTTTTTTTTTTTTTTTTTGCGTGCATAAACTCCCACGTTTTCCCCGGTGGATGCATGAGGTAGGTAAGGCTTGGATCCAACAGTCTCTAGTGAGGGGTTTTAAGGTCCGAAAACCCGATTCCACAATGATACGGATGCAATGCGTGCGTCATACAAACCGGCTGTTCCTACTGACAATGTGGGACGTGTCGTGCAGGCCGACACCCGAGCCGTGAAGCGGTGGGGACTTTCCCAGACGTGGGCAGCCCCATCCCTGCGCCCAGAAAGTCGGCGGGCCCGTATGTCTCTCTGTTTTCCCGATACGGACCAACCAAAATTCAGAGGTCCCTCGCAGGGCCACCGCTTTTCGCCACCGGCGCCGTAACAGCCCACGAACGTCGGCCCTGTGGGGCTCGAAAAAGCTTATACGGTCCGAAAGGCCAGGTGCCTGCTTTTGAGGGAACTTTTTCGATTTTTTGGTAAAAATGCGTAGTCGGATCCAAAGCTAAGTTTCTTGGGATGCCTATAAACAACTAAGTATTTTCTGCGGTGAATGTGGACGTGAATTGCGGTCAAGTGAATTAGTTGACCAGAATGAAATTTGATTATTATAATTTATTAACAGATTAAAATCCATTTTGTTTGCAAAAAACGGCGATTACTACTACTTCAATATCAAAATTTATTCAAATTGAAGTTGTCGCCGTGGATGCATTTTTTTTTTTTTTTTATAATTCAATATCAAATTGTATTCGAATTAAACTGGTCAACTGATTAGTTGATCAGTTCTAATTTCATTTTTATTTTTATTTGTAGTATTTTTTTTAGTTTTGCATTTATTTCCCCCCCCGGTGGATGGATGCATCGGCTAGGTTTCTCGAGATGCCCTTAGACTACTAGTATTTTCGGCCGTGAATGTAGACGTGGATTGCAGCCAAGTACATCCAGAGAAGTTTTAGTTCGAGTATGTATGCCCCCCCCCCCCTCGATTCTTCTACTTTTATATAAAGTTGTATATGGCCGTGTTCCTTGCATACGTCAGCCACCGTTCAGATGTCAAATAGTGAATTACGACTTCTTTTCTTCTTTCATAATTACTCGTCAATTACGGCCTTTTTTTTTTCTTCTTAATTATTCACTTTATTATTATTATTAATTTTTTTTTATAAACTTCATCGAAATAATGAACGACGTAAAATGTTTTTTTTTTCATAATTACTCGTCAATTACGACTTTTTGTTTTTTGTTTTTTAATTATTCACATTTTATAAACTTCATCGAAGATTCGAAATCATGAACGACGTAAACTTCATCGAAGATTCGAAATCATGAACGGCGCTGTGGTGTTATCGACGTCCACGTGGTCGGAACAAACTATGAAATGTACGTGCAAAAAAAAAAAAAAAAAAAATGAAAATGAAAATGAAAAATGAAAAGAAAATAAAAACATAGAAACTTAAAAAAAGCTAGGCTACCAGAGTGGCCCGGGGCCAGTTGCCCGGCCGGGCCCAAAAAAAAAAAAAAAAAAAAAAAAAAAATTATAATTTTTTTTTAAATTTGTTTTTTTTTTTGATTTTACCCTGAAGCATAAGTTCAGTTAATTTTTCTGCATAACGTAGTTTTTT